CGAACTCACGAACTGCTGCGTCACAGCACGAACAGGTGTTCTGACAAACCTTCCAAACTATCTCTCGAGCAGGAAGGGGAAGCGTGTGGGAACTAATCAGATCTGAGCTTGCCTCTTTCTCACAAATCACCTAGGAGGCTGATGACTTAAGTGGTAGTATTTGTATGGGTTCCAAGAAACTCTAGCTCTAAGCTCATTGGGCTTCTAGGTTTTTTGGGCTCTTCTCATACTAATAATCCATTTGGGCTTTAGTAAAAGAGCATAAACCTAACAGAGAGAGCGCAGTGAAGGACTCCTCCTCCCAACAAATGCATTTCCTGGAATTCAAACTTGTGTTCTTGTTCTTACGGGCCATGAGACGCTACCACTCGGCTAACATTATGTTGGTAGTTGTTCTATTTTTTTCTACTCTAACTAATTTTTGATTTTTTTTTCGGGAACCTTTTGCCCATCTTAAAGTGGGCTTTAAGTGGTTCAAGAGAATCCTATGATTTAACAAAAAAAATAATACCAAAAATAAATAAATAAATAACACTACGTAAAACATTTATAAAGTGATATTTATATTCTTGTGTATAATAAAGAAGCCATCTTTATTTAATTTTTAGAGAGGAAAAACCATATATTAAAATAAATGAAGAATGTTGTATTATTGTATTTAATTTACCGCAAAATTTGTGGGGAGTGCTTATATTGACAGTCAATTATATAATAAATAGAGTACTTACAAGAAGACATAAAGCATCCTCTGTGAAATGTGGAAAGACAGAAAGCCCTAACCTTGAACTATTTTAAAGTGTGGGTGTGTTTAACTAAGATTACAATTCCACAACTTAAAAGGGTTAGAATTAGATTTAAAATAGTGGGTTGTGTATTCAGTGGATCTAATCTCAATAGTAGTGCATATCATCTCATTGTTTATGAGTCTAAGGTATCGGATACACATATTAATTGAGTCAAGGAATGGTATGTTCTTTGAAAGTATATTTCTATATAACATGGTATATGAGCTCAACAATAATGATGACTATGAGAATGAGATACCTTACGATACTGTGATTAGCTATGATCCTACAGAAGAGGATCCTAGATGCAGTAAAAGGCAAAGGACAACAATTCCTTTAGACCTAATTTTCAAACATATATGATAGAAGATAAGGAAGAAGCAATCAATAGTGAGATGGAATCCATCTTGTCAAACCATACTTGTGAGTTGATTGATCTAAGTAAGTGGATCTTTAAAAGTAAAAGAAAGGCATATGACATTATTAATAACTACTAAACCTAGACTTATAGTAAAAGACTACAAGTTGTTAGACAAGTGGCTTCAAAACTCAAGAGATTGGCAAGTAAGGATTTGAATCCTTTTCACGAGAGGATTCAAATCCTTTATTCAAATTCCTACCTGGCAGGGATTTGAATACTTGCCTAATAGCATTACATTATGCAGTACAAATTGGCATGCCTTGGATTCTTATGCCTCCAAACTTTCTCAAAAGCATGTTCTTAACTTGGAAAAAAAATTCAAGGTTCTAAGACATGTCAAGAACATTTTCCATGCGTTTTTCAAATCTTTTTCAAGAATTTAAAAAACATGGATCATGAAATTTGAAAAACAAGTTTACTTTGAGTTATTCATGGAATTTTGATCAACTATCTTTATATTTGAGTCTAGATCTTATAAATATACTACTTGTGGGCTTTTGGACTTAAGTTCTTCCATTGTAGCTTGAATCTTGATCTCCTTTTGATGATATGCTAATTATTGGTAGGGATATGTATGACAAAGACTTCTAAATGTATGCTGGCTAGTGTTTTGACATAAAAGACATGAGAGTCAGTTATGTTATTTTGGGGATTAAAATCCTTAGACTATTTGAAGAATCAGCTCTATCATAGACTTATTACATTGCCAAAATTCCTGAAAATCTCAAGAGTTTAGAAATTAAGATAGTAAAGACTTCACTAGATAGTTATATATAACTCTATAAAAAATCGAGTCAAGCTAAGGAATATAATTAGTATGCTAGTATATTAAACAATATGTTGTATGCCATAAATTGTACTAGATTGGACATAACTTATGTTTTAAGCGTGCTAAGTCGATATATAAACAACCCAAGTGGTATCATTGCTTTGCAATGATAACAGTCTTGGGTTACTTAATGTTAACTCAAGACTATGTTTTGCATTACTTGATCTATACTAAGATGTTGGAAGGATACTATAATGTAAATAGATAACCAATTTTAGTGACACCAAATTCACAAATAGGTATATATACCTAAGGTTTAAAGTTTTTCATGTTGTAAGAGATAAAATTATCTTCGACACATATATAAAAATATGTGGGGCTCGTATGAGATCATGTGAGGAGAAGAGAAAAAAAGAGAAAAATTAGACCCCATATAATTATATATATATGGGTAAATCAAAAATTATGTTGCATGATGTAACATAAATTTCTTATACACACAATTGAAAAGAGAGATGAGAGAGAAAAATCAAGGAATTGGGCCCACGTAAAATTGTGTGTGCAGGAAAGTTATGTTAGATCATGTAACATAATTATATATATATATATATATATAGGGGAGGGATCATTTGACTCCAGAGTAAGATTTAAAAGTCTTACTCCTCATCCCAGCCATTGATTTCCGTTCATCCAACGGTTATCATTTATTTGAAATTAATAATTAATTAATGCATTAAATTACTAAATGATAACCGTTGGATGAACGGAAATCAAGGGCTGGGATGAAGAGTAAGACTTTTAAATCTTACTCTGGAGTCAAATGATCCCTCCCCATATATATATATATATATATATATATATTGAGTAGGATCCTTTGACACTGTATCAAATTTTGAAATTTGACATCAAACATATCCGTTGATTTCTGTCAATCAACGGTTATCATTTATTTGGAATCAAACTTATTAATTAATATTAATTTCCAAAAAATAATAATCGTTGATTGACGAAAATTAAATATTAGGATTCAGTGTCAAATTTCAAAATTTGACACCGGTATCAAATGATATATATATATATATATATATATATATATATATATATATATATATATAATTTCTTCTTGAGAAACTTTAAAATCATTTTCCTACATGTTGGGGGTTGTAATGTCTTGAAATCTTTCCAATAAACTTGTATCATAGAAACAAAATTTATTACCTCAAATAAAATTGGACGGCTGGGTAACTGGAAAATTTTTGATCAATGTGATTTGGGGGAATTATTTTATTAAGCACTACCTTATCTTATTCACTTAGGTCGTGTTTGAAAAATCAACTTTAAACAAAGCTCGGTTATAATAACTCTTCAGCTTCATGGGAAAAGCATTAATCTGATTTTTTTAACCTTTTTGTCAAACATGAATTTTAAAATTTATTCTTATCTAACCTTTGTCAAACAATTTATTTTCTAATTATATTAAGGGAAAAGTGTTTGTCCTTTTAAATGACACAACTTATGTTATTTCACTCTCTCAAAGAGATGAAACTCACACCTTTATATTTTTTTGTCCACTCTCTCTCCGCCTTTATCTATCTCTTTCTCTCACTTAAAATGACACAACTTTACATCCTTTAAAATGATACACACTTTTTCCTTATATTAATTTACTTTAGATCATTTTTAAGCGTACCGGTTTCAAAAACTATAGTCCCTTGCTCTCTTTTATATAAGGAAAAAGAATCTCCCCAGTATCAGGGATTCATTTAAAAATACTAAAACAATTTTTTCTTGCCAAAAGCCATAACCTGCAAACCTTTCTCGCTGTTATTTTTACCTCTATTTCTCTCTCTTTAAAGGTCTCTACAGTCTACACCACCATATATATCTCATCATACGGTATTTATTTAATCCACTCATTTATTATTAATATCACATGAATATTATTTGTGCAATCTTAGAAAGATTGAGTTGTCCAATTTGATATTGATAATTTTTATAAAATTTAGATGCCTTATTTCAAGTATATATGACGGAGATACCTTAGAGAATAACGGATTATTGTGCACTATAATAACGACATAGCCAAAAGATAGAGTGTGTGTACAGTGACATCTAAGAAAAAGGATTTAAAAGTATGCATACTGGTAAATTTTACCTTTTATTTAGAAAGTATATTTGTGGGTAAAATTGGAATTTTAGATCTTTAGTGAATTTGGGGGATCCAATATGGGCTTTTTGACCCTTTTGCCCTCCAACAATTAAATAATAATCATTTTGCTCCTCCCCAAAAATATTTCACCTATTTGCCCCTGTTTAATCTATTAAACCACGACCTTAATTGATTAAACAGTGAAAAAATGCAGTAATTAGGAAACTCGTGATTTAATCGATTAAGCCACAGTGCTTAATCGATTAAATATCTCCAGAAATCCTATATCTATATGTCTTGGTCTCATTTCACTTATACCCATTTTTTATACCAAAATCTCTCTCGTTTCTCATCTCTAATCCAATCCATCAAGAGGCTATTTCATCCCATCAGCTCTAAACCCTTAATCTTGTGAAATCATTGTCATTGCACTTATATATTCCCTTTTTGTTGGGGAAATCTGAACCCAAACCCCAAAATTCTGAACCCTAGTCTCAATTTCGTGGGAAAGATGAGCTCAAGTTCAAACACACTTGTTACAGTGACCTACCATGATGAGAGGCATTTTGAAGGTCCCAATGGTGTTTAATTTGAAAGGAAAAATGAAAATGATGAAAATCAAACGGGACATTACATACAACAAGCTCAAGGGAAGAATTCACCAAAAATTGGGCTACAAGGTAGCCAATGCATTTATCGGATGATAGCCAGGGTAGAGAGTACAATTGGTAAGGATGCCATATACTACATTAGTAACGATATCTATGATGATGAAGATGTAAAATGTGTTATAGATGCAATATTGGTGACCGGAGACTTCAAAATTTTATTGAGATATATGTTGAAGTTGATTGTGGCCAATCTTCATCTGCACCCATGCATACAAGAAGTCCACAATATGTTGGTCAAGAAGATAGATTCGTCGATTTATCTGCACCTGCACAAGTGTTAAGTAAAATAACATCGCGGGAGGAAGATAAGGAGAAGGAGATGGAGGATATGGACTGTGATGAGGAGGGAGAACCTGATAGTGTTATTCTACTAGGTGACACCTCTGATACTAACGTGGAGGGTGATTTGGACACTGACACAAACCTAGTAGACCTAAGTTCCCCGGTCATGCCACCACTTCATGTTGACCCAGTTAGTAGTGGTAACTTAGTAAATTAAATTTTTTATGTAATATTTCATATTTGTGCTGTTATTGGTATTGATAAAAATGTAATGAACTAGACGTAAGGCCCGAGATTCATCCATTATAGAACGAAAGCCCACATTACTCCTTCATTAATTGGGCGTACCCTAATGACGATATGCAGATGTTGTATGGTGACGATGACTTGCACGATGGTTGGCAATTAGGGGATCCATTATATTTGTATCAAGAGTTTCGTTCCAAATCTGAAATGCAACATGCCGTGAAAGTACAGTGTATGAAGGCTCATCGTACAACCGTAGTATCAAAAAGCGATGAGCATAGATTTGTGATGAAGTGTAGAAACCATGATGACAGTTGTCCCTGGTATATGAGGGCAATGTTGCCGAAGGATGAAAATACTTGGGTCGTTAATAAGTGGGGTAAAGATCACACCTGCCTAAACCAAGGTCTTACCCGGGATCATAAACAATTGGATTCAGAGGTTGTATGTGCAACCATTATAAGTAAGTTTTGTAATACGTGGAACTATATATTATTTATTTATGTTATTTATTTATCAAAAAATATTTATTGAAAATATTGAAAAATTGATTTGTTTTTAATAGGTATGTTAAGGGAAGATCCAACTTTAAAACTAATGTTGATACAAGAGAGAATACAACGTCTGTATGGGTACAATATAACTTACAAGAAGGCTTGGAAGGCAAAAATGAAGGGCATTGTGAAGTTATTTGGTGACTGGGAAAAATCATATGCATTATTGCTGAATTGGCTGACATACATGACACAGTGTAATGTTGGTTCAGTGTTCAAGCTTGATACAGATCAATGTTTTGACGAACATCGAGTTTATACCGACAAGGTTGTCTTTCATAGGGTTTTTTTTTGGATATTTTACCAGTGCATTGAGGCCTTCAAATACTGTAAGCCCATAATACAAATTGATGGGACTCATCTGTATAGGAAATATAAAGGAACTATTTTGATTGCGACGTCACAGGATGGAAATGGATATATGTTACCTATTGCCTTTGTTGTTGTTCCTCCAGGTGAGAAGTTGGAAGATTGGTCATGGTTTCTTAGCCTTATACGTTTTCATGTGACACATAGGCAAGATATTTGTCTAATATCTGATCTTCACCGAAGCATCATAAGGGCAGTCCACGATCATACTAGTTGGCAGCCTCAATTTGCATATAACATGTTTTGCCTACGTCACATCGGAAGCAAATTTAATACTAAGTTTAAGGATGTCGAGTTGAAGAAAACGTTGATGAAACTAGGTATAAAATGTCATTAATATGTACTTCTTGTAGATCATTAGTATAAGTATTGTATATTTTGCAATACATTAAAACTCTTTGTTTTGCAGGGTACATGAGTTCCAAGATTCAGTTTGACATGAGATTTCAAGAATTTATTGACAATAACCCAGAAGTTGCTTCTTGGATAGATCTGATCCCAAAAAAGCAATGTTGCAGGTCTTATGATGATGAGGGACGGAAGTTTGGTCACATGACGACTAACCTATCTAAGTGTGTGAATAAGGTCCTAAGGGGTGTACATTATCTTCCCATAACATCATTGGTTAAACATACCTACAATAGACTTATTGAATATTTCATCAACAAACGTGAAAAGATATAGAAAATATGGCAAAAGGTAGGAAAATTTCAAAGAAGGTTGAGGATGCTATTGCAAAAAATGATCAATTGACAGTGAGTCTCCGTGTGCGGGTTTATGATAGGGATTTGCAATTGTTCGAGGTTGAGGATGCCTATAATCAATCTACACATGAAGTTGGTGACATAATGAGGGTGGACTTGATCAATCGCAAATGTCAAAGTGGAAAGTTCACAGTTAAAAGGTATCCTTGCAGCCACGTCTTAGTAGTGTGAAAGGCAGAGAACTTGAACCACTACGATTATATTGACCCTATATTCTTCATTCCACATATTGCTAGGGTTTATGCTGCACATTGATATCCGATAGCCAATGAATTGTTGATTCCACAAGGCAATGGCCCAACCATTATCCCGAATGTAAATTTGGTTCATGCACAGGGAAGACCAAAGTCTTCAAGAATACAGAATGAGATGGATACCCTCAAGCAGTCAGAATAGATGTAGACAGTGTAAGCAAGTTGGTCATAACATACGTACATGTCCAATGAGGAATACACAGACTTGAATTGTCTTTTGCAATGAGTTTTGTAATGAATTTTTCATGTATGCAACCATTGTTCGTGTATTGTTCATGTATTGTGATTTGCAAGCCAATGTGGTGTATGCAACTGTTGTTTATGAATCCTTCATGTATTAAAATGTTCATCTCTTTTGTAATGTGTGCATGTCGTACCAAATGAAGAAGGCCCACAAATGAATTGAATAAGTCCTAATACACGAGTTCATATAAAATGAATCAAGTTTATGTATTCAAAAACACTAAATAGGGTTTTCGTATGCCAAACCAACTTTATTGGCAATTTTCGTACATTTAAGGAATCGTGTTAGCACATATGTATATTCAGACCACAAATCCCTTCCCCAAGTCACATTGACCAAGTTCATGAGTGTTGAAACTCATTTGATCAAAAAAAGCATGTGGAAACAAAACCAAGTGGCTCACAGCACTGCTTTAATCGATTAACCATTATGGGTTAATCGATTTAATGGTTTAATCGATGAACCATGTATATTGATCAAAACATAACCTAAACATGCATCAAATCGAAGAATCTATGCAAAAAAATGACCCAATTGAACCAAACCACGTATAAAATATCTAGGGTTTATGAATAAAAAAACAAAAAAGAATTGGAAGAAATTGAACAATACATACCAATAGGAGAGGGTATACACTTTGATGTTTATGTTTGAACCCACAACACAAATTGGGGCAAAAGTTCGAAAAGAGGAGATTTTGGGAGTTCTTAATCGATTAGGATTGTGTTAAATAACCCCCAACCACTAATGGGGTTTTTTAAAAAATAGCACTGACATCTCACGGGTTTCCTGCTTACTATGTTTTTTCACTGTTTAATCGATTAAGGTCGAGGTTTAATTGATTAAACAGGGGCAGACGGGTGAAATGTTTTGGGAAGGGGCAAAATAATTATTATTTAATTTTTGGAGAACAAAAGGGTCAAAAAAACCATCCAATATGAGATTTATTATTATTGCACTAGGATTAGTATTTTTTGAAAATCTTTCCTTTATTTTTTCTCTTAGTTGTGTGTCCTTATTGGGTTTCCTAAAATATGAACTTTATATCATATCCATAACATTATTTACTTTTACTTTTGATAATAAAATAAGGGACAAGATATATTTACCACCATAAAAGTTTACCACTCTTACAATCAAGCTAATCATCGTTGATTTTTGTCAATCTAACGGTTATAATTTATTGGAAATTAATAATTAATTAATAAGAGCGATCCAATTGGTCATTCTTGTTAGCAATGCTTAGTGGAGGCTTAAAACTGAGAATATTACAAAAAAATTATTTAATTAATTTTTGCAACTGAGAATAAGGGGATTGGATTTTATTTCGCCACATTCTTGTTAGCAATGTATTACAAAATAAAATTTCATAAAGTTGTGTCACATTTTATTTAAATGTGGTTAAATATTGTGGAGGTTTAAAACCTGCCACAAATTATATTATTTAGTGGAGGTTTCCTTGACCTATACTAAATAACCTCCACTAATCACCTATTTTTTGTAGTGCAATAATTCACAATAAATTATAACCGTTTGATTGACGAAAATCAACAGTGATTAAATTAATTATAAGAATGATAAATTTTTATGGTGGTAAATATACATTCTTCATAAAACAATACTAACGGTTTAGTAAAAAAAAAAAACTAGAGTAAGATACTCTTTTTTGGGAGTAATGCACTCGGTCATTAAAATAATCATATTGTATCTTCGAAAGAACTTAACTAATAAATTCATTTTTAAATAAATATTAAGAATGACGCAAACTCACATATATAAAAAGGAAAAACATTTATCTTGATATAATTTTATGTCATTTTAGATCTTAATAATTGATTTTTGTCAATCAATAGTTAGGATTTATTGGGTTAAACTTAGGATTCGTTTTTTCTGCAGTTACTGCACATAAGTTATCTGCAGTAAACCCAATACGACGTCGTTTTGGAGCAGAAATCATGGTGTTTTTGTAATGTTAATTTATTTCAGGATTATAATAGTCTTTATATTTATAGTTTTTTAAGATTTCAATACCAAAACGACGTCGTTTTGAGAATAAATGCAGATAACTTATCTGCATTAACTGCAGAAATATTTTTCCCTTAAACTTATTAGTTAATTAGTAATTCACAATAACATCCAATAAATCTTATCATGATTGACGGAAATAAACAATTAAGATCTAAAATGACACAAAATTATATATTTTAAAAGAAGAAATATTTTTTCCATATAAAAAATACATCATTTCACGTATAAGATATGCAATAGAATTGAAGTATAAAGAATGTACAAAAAATAATACGAGACGGGTATAAAATAAAATAAAAAATTAATACGAGACGAGTAATAATCAAAGTGTGTCGTGCCCATCCATGTGATTGTATATAAACATTCTCATGAGAAGTTATGACTATCTAACTTTTTGGAGACAACTTAGGAAATCGTGCCACTTTCACTTAAATGGGCCATTCTTCATGATGCATTTTTTTTATTTGTTCTCGCATAAATTTTTATTACTAAATTTATTTTAAACACAAAAAATGGCATTGACATTATCCTGAAAAGTAGTTACATTCAAATTTCAGTTACAGACATGCATGTCATGATATTTTTTTATTTCTTTGTCTTGTATTTTGCTTTTTTTATTTTATAAATATATAAAATGAAAATAAAATAATATAAAAAGAGTTACTTTTAAATTTCAAAAAGAAATAAATTTTTGTACATTTATAAAAAAATACACAATCTTGTAAATAAGGTATATAGTAGAATTAAAGTATAAATATACAAAAGATAATACGAGACACGTAGTAATCAAATTATAAAAATTATAACAGTAAAAGATGATGTGAGTAAAGAAGTCAGCGTGGGTATACCGTATACGCATTCTCCACGAAAATAGTTACTAAAGTTATAAATATGAGGCAGGATCATTTGACACCGGTGTCAAAAAAAAAGTTTGACACCTCATCTTAGAGTCGTTAGATTACAAAAAATCAATGGTGTCACATGCTTACAAATCAGAATCGTTGATTTTTTGTAATCTAACGGCTCTAAGATGAGGTGTCAAACTTTTTTTTTGACACCGGTGTCAAAGGATCCTGCCTCTATAAATATATATATATATATATATATATATATATGAAAAAATATACTCTTATGTTGTTGGAGAATATTTTTCTCTCCTACACATACATCGACTTCCGTATTATTTTTTTTTTTCTTTTTTTATAAGTGAGTGGGTCCCACATATGACTATCTCTATGACATAAGAGAGTTTCTCTTATGTTGCATGAAATTAATAAAGCCCTATATATATACAGGGCTTTGTATCTCTCTTGTGGCTGCAAAATTTTATTTTCTGCAGCTGAAACAAAATTATAGCAGGGCCTACCATTTAAAAAAAATAAAAAATAACAAAAAAATATTCTTGAGTCTATCGCATGAGGAGAAAACATTTGCAGTGACAACAGATGTTGTTTTCCCCTATATATATATATATATATATATATATATATATATATATATATATATAGGTACAATAATTTCTGCAACCGTTTTATGTACAGCAACGACAGATGTATGGTTATGATTTCTCACATTTAATGCTTTCATCCTTTGTATGGTTATGATTCTTTGCATTTAATGCTTTCAAGTATATATATGGCAAGTATTTGATTGTTGTACGTACAACAGCTGCAGAAATGTAAACCCCGTATATATATATGTATGTATGTATAAATTATAACTTTATATATAGGGGTTTTAGTTTGTCCTTTAACATGACACGAAAAACTTTCTTACACACATTTTGTGGATCCACACTTTTTAAAACAAAAAAAACTAAGGCACGCAAAACGAATCTCTATAACATTAAACAATCACTTTTCCTACAACATAACTCTTATAAAACCCTTATATATATAATATGTAGTTTCATATAATTAAAGTTAATCTATCATAAAAAGTTAAAATTCCTCATTCGTCACGCTTTATATTATTTAAGGGAAAACATTAATAAAAATAATAATTTTACATGTTTAAATTTTTCACATACGTTATAATTATTAAATAATTTATTCGGTAATTTTAGATTATATTTCATTACACAATTACACTTTTAAAGAATAGTATACAAAATTATTAATTTTAATTATCTTGTGTATAATATGTGTTTTATCTTTTTTTCCTCATGGTAAAACTATTCACGTGACGTGAATGCAAGTATCATTTTTCAACACATGTATGAATACTGACTATTACCTAATTCCCGAACGTCAGAAGAAAGTAGTAACACGACAAATAGTGGGGTTGTAGTCAGAATCGATGACGCGGATCCGACTCCTCTCTGTGTCTCGTCTTCATCGTTTGTACTATTGTATGTTAAGTTTATCCATCTAGCCGTTACAATGAGAAATTTAA